GAACTTCCAGAGACCAAACATGAGATAAAGGCAGGGAGTGGTCAGACCATCCCAAAGTTTCTTGCTGGAATGCTGATGAATCTACAGAGGCAAAGGGACAAGTGGAGGGACAGGCTCTGGGGGAAGCACACCAGAGCTCCCATCACAGCACCACATGAGGAAGCTGTGCTGAACACAAAGGGACCCCACCCGGGTGACAGCTGACACTCTTCCTACCACTATGGAGGTGTTGGGAAGATGACTCTGAAAGGGCCATTCCCACACCTTCCGGCCCCACACCAGTCCCCACCAGCCCCACAGCCTCCACCAAGTCTGATTCCAACTGAGACTCCAGAGCATGCCCTTCCCAAGCCCTCAAGGCCCATAGCCTGTCTATCTTCTTCCTGCTCCTGGGAACTGCTGCTCTCCTTAATCACCTCTCCCTCTGCCCTGTTCGCAGGGCTGCTTCTCGCAGACCACAAGCTCCTTTCAAGGGGTGGTTCATCTTTATTCTTCTGCACCCAGAAAATCCCAGCTGGTCTACTGATCTAACCACTTGAAGGAACGCAGCTCACACATAACTAGTTCAGTTACCCACTTCTGTGCCTCTGTCCTGACAAGCACAGAACTACTAGCTCTTACTTGCTCAGTTGATCATTTCTATGCATGTTCAATACAATAAGCTAACTGTGCAAGCAAGGAATCACACCTACTGCCAACTCTGAGACAGGTCTACAAAACACACTGACAGAGGCTGGACTGCCTCTGCATTACCCACAGAGCAAGGAAAACCAAGCAAGAGCCACGCGCATGAGCACTGATAGCGCACTGCCCTGCGATGCCCGTGGTGCCCACTGGCCCCACCGTCAGCCTAGCTACCTGAGAAAATGTTCTTGAGGTTCTCCACAGCAGCAGCGAGCTGGCTGTGCCGCACCACAGCATCCTTCACGTCCTTGAGGCTCTCGATGGTGTTGATGCCCTGCCTCCAGTCCTTGCTGACATCGGCCAGGGACCGCTGGATGTCCTTCACGTCGTTCAGTGCATTGTGGAGCTGGCTCAGGCCTGTGCGCACCCCATCTAACTGAGACTGGATAGCTGCCTGGGGGAGACAGTGAGCAGTGAGCAGTGCTGGGCAGCCACAACAAATCTTCCCAGGAGGTTCAAGTGCAGAAATGCCATCTCAGTAGCACGGAACAGTCAACATCCAGAGAAAAGAGAATAAAACTCGAGTACCTAATTGATTCCCAAGGGAACTTTTTCTTTTTTCCTTATTGCTGCCTTAGAACAAAACAACGCCTTTTAAAGCTTCATGAGAAAACCTCACAACACTCCTACTCCAGCCGCTCTGCCTGAAGAGAATGGACACCACTGTGGGTGCGCCTTAGCTCCTATGGCCACCCCTTAAATGGTATCTTTAGAACGGGGGTGAGGAACATCCAACCCACCAGCCGTATGAAAAAATCATTTGGTCTGGCCCTGCCAAGGAATTAGAGGTGAATTATTAAATGTTTGACCAAATATAGCAAAAAATTTATAAACCAATTTTTAAGTTGATAATTTTGTATGGCCTGAGAATGATGTTATAAATATCCAAATGGCCCTTAGCAGAAAAAAGGTTCCCCACCCCTGCTTTGGACCCCTTCCATGATCTCTCAGGTGCCTGTTTCCTAACAGGCCTTATCTAGGTACAGACAACTGTCAGGGTTTGCTTATTAGCTTTAGGAATGAGGGGTCTCCTGCCACTGAGCCCAAACCAGTCTCTGCTCCAGGACAGCCAGCCCCACTACACAGAACTGGTACACGTAAGATTTGGACTCACTCTTCAGGCCCACAGGAATGGCACCTAGTGAACTGTACAGTCAGAAGGAAGAGGGCAGCAGGTGGACAGCAAGGGAAGGGAAAAAGCAGGCAGCACAAAAGAGGCCAGGAACACCTTTAACCCAGGAGTCTTAAGTGGCATTTAGAAATAATTAACAATGATTGTAACAGACCAGCCAAGGTTTCTAAGTCACTACTGGTAATTCTTAGTTAATCCCACAAGCTTCCAAAACAGATTAAAATTCTGACAAAAATGCAGCAGGTCCACCTTCATTTTAAAATTAATATGGAAACTTTCAAATCCATCCATGGGTTTTGGGATGCCCCCTGGGTACAAATGAATGGCCTCATCCTGTCTCATCAAGGCTGCCATTACCTTACCTGGATGCTAGCATTTTCTAATGGAGACCTGACATTGTCGAATCAGTGTGAGAATTAACCTTCATCAAAGACAAATCCTCAAGACTGTTCTACTGCCTGTCAACCATGGTAGCCCAGGACCTTAACATTTTTATAACGATACTGAGTGTGTATATGAATTAAGTTGAAAGCCAATCCAAATCATAAAATATCTTGAAAATAGTGATTTTCATTCTTGCCCCACTCCCACATACTCTTAATGTGTCTAACTCTCCTCCTCCCTTCTACCCCAGGGCCAGCAGATACCTGGCACACAGTCAGCCTGCTATACATCATGTGCTTAAATTATCTAAATAAAATATTCTCAGGAAGCACTCTGTACAAGAGCTTTTTAGAAAAAAGAATTTAACTGTTAAAGTTTGTTACCCTGGTGTTTTCAATATTCCCAAAACCTTTTTTTAAAATATATTGTTATTGATTTCAGAACAGAAGGGAGAGAGGGAGAAAGAGAGAGAGGGAGGGAGAGAGGGGAGGAGAAAAGGAGGGGGAGAGAGAGAAAGAGAAACATCAATGATGAGAAAGAATCACTGATAGTTGCCACCCAGTCTGGGGATTGAACCCGTAATACGGGCTTGTGTCCCAACAGGAATCAAACCGTGACCTCTTGGTTAATAGGTCAATGCTCAACCACTGAGCCACACCAGCTGGGCTCTGGTTTCTTTTCAGATTGCATAACTATTCCCACAATCTTGTTTATAAATCTACTGATTGGTAATATACTGTTGGAAGGAACGTGCTAAGTAAAGGTGATGTTCCACTCTGTCTCTTTCCAGATCATCACTAAGTCTAATTTAGGAAAATTACAATAATAAAGCTAAGCAAGAACCTAAAACTCAAATAGCACTGTCCTGCCTGGGGGTGCAGCAGGTGCCTGTGGCCTCTCTGGCCTCGTACCTTCAATCTGGCCTCCACGGAGGCCTTTTTCCGGGCCTCTCTTCTGCGATACTGCTCCACTTTGTCCAGCTGGTCCGGGCGCTGAAGCATCCCAGCAACCCTTTGGACGGCTGTTGCCACAGCCTCCCGGTCTGTCTCCTTCATGGTTAAAAAGCAGGTGGGATCTCCAAACCTGACATACTCGAGTTACGTTCCCTGTGTGCATGGGGGAGAGGGAACAGGAGGGGAAGATGTGTTAGGTAGAAATGTTAGGTACAACCCTCCTCCCCCAACAGGCAGTTGTTCATAGTGGAGCTGTAAGAAGAGCACTTGATTAATCCAGTAAGCCTGAAGGAACACTGAACTAGGATTATCAACTCCTTAATAAGAAATACAAACCTTCACGACTCCAATATGGAGGAAGTTCTACCTTGAAGGGGAGCAGAGGCATTCACAGGTATGAGATATGGACAACATTCCTATGTGGACCCCAGACCACTCAGCATATTAGATGCCAGTCTCCAAGGCATTTCTCTTGCCGAGACAGGACCAATTTCTTATTTCCAGAGTGTTCACACCACCCCTTGGCTGTGCCAATGGGGCAGCCGCGCCAGAATGTCTTAGCAAGGACACGGAGGCACAGGGACAGCACACCTCACCACCCCAGTCGAAGTCCCAGCACACATCCTACCATTCCCCTTAAAAATCACATTGTCGAGAGCATCCAGATTTCTGCTCTCTACTATTCAACAGAGCCTAGTAAGCAACAGCCAGAGGGCACAAGGCTCAGGTGCACTGTACAGCACAAATGCTCTGAAACTAAGCAAACCTGCCTTCCACCCAGCTCTACCCACATCCTGGTCCTGGAGCCAAAAGGGAGATTTGGTGAGAGTGGCAAACCCATCTCCATGCATGTTTTCTGTCCACAACGTCTCAAAAATATCAGTAAGTCCCACCCTCTCCCTAAAATTTCCAGTCCCCATTTCCACACACTTTCACAAAAACACTGAAATCCACGAGGATCGCCTAAGGCAGTGGTTCTCAACCTTCTGGCCCTTTAAATACAGTTCCTCATGTTGTGACCCAACCATAAAATTATTTTCGTTGCTATTTCATAACTGTAATGTTGCTACTGTTATGAATCGTAATGGAAATATCTGATATGCAGGATGGTCTTAGGCGACCCCTGTGAAAGGGTCGGTCCACCGCCAAAGGGGGCGCGACCCACAGGTTGAGAACCGCTGGTAAGGGCTGAGTGCTAAACAACTCCTCCGTTTGTACACGATATGCTTTCTCATTTCTCCTTCAAATGGAACTACATTGCAACCACTGCCCTTCCTTTTTATTTTTCGGATTATGAAGTTATGGGCACCACTGCAGAAAACCTGAACGGGCAACCCGCCGTCCGTAGGCAGGCCCTCTATCAGGCTCTCCATCTTCCCTTTGCATCCCGAAGTTGCATCCACCTGCGTACACAACCCTGCGTTTGCTTTGGTTTCCTGTTTCGCTTTGACATGTTTGCGGCATTTCTGGCGACATGAACACCAGCACGATTTTCACTAAGGGGCGGCTGTCCGACAAGGAGGGGCCTCCAGCGGTCGCAGGTGCGCACAGCGTCCGTCCGCGCCTCGGGGCGGCCCCCGCA